ATTACTCTTGGATTATTTATAACTGATTCTCTGACAAAAGTGACCATAATAAACCAAGTCTGTGGCAAACACAGTTGGCTCATTTTAATGTGTTCGCTGCAGGCATCAACAAAACATGTAATTTGCCCAGGGGTAGCCAGACTTCTTGCAGCTGTTCCCTTCATTACACTTGTTGTGGTTACAGTCTCCTTCCACATTTGCTGGTTGAATACTTTTAATGTGAAATACCAAGTTGGTGAAAGCACAAATTTATCTCAATGACACGCAGTTTTCCTGTGAATCCCTGTGAGCTGTTATTATATAGAGATGTACCTCCACAATGTAAAGATTGTTTAATAGTTAGTGCTGGAAAAGAATGCATAAATAATTTTTAAGATGTCTTAAATCTCACAGATTATAAATGCATTATACTTTCACTAGAATTTGCAGCAAAAGCTGCCATTTCTTAAACATTTACTTAATTTTTAACATTTATAACATATTAAAGTGTTTTGTTGTTTTTTGTTTTTTTGTTTGTTTGGTTTTTAAAAAAAATCTAATTCTGATTCATTTTGCTATTTATCAGGATGACAGTGTCTGGCAACATATTTAATATAAATTATGTGGAATGGCTAAATCTAGGAGTATGAGCACACACAACAGCTGGAGGCCACACAAAATCTCCTTACAGTGTAATATTGCACAGAAGAAGAGCATAACACCATTATTTTTTTTCTATTTTTCTTTTTTCTTTTTTTAGTAACTCCCCTCGATCTTGCTTGAGGCAAGCCTAACTAGCGTAGCACGGGCGGAAGTGGATTAGGCAATACTCTGAAATAACCCTGATCTTTTTCCATTTTTTACTAATCCCTTTCTGTTCAGGTTGTGGCGCGTCTGTTGGCTCTGCCGGTGGATTTCTGGGCCCAGTTTGTGATGGCAGCAGAAAACGAGCAGCCGAACTTGGCGCATTTGATCATTGAAAATGCAAACTGCTACGCCACCCCTGAGAGAGCTGGAGGTTCGTTAAAACTTTCTTTGTTGTTGCCGTATGAGTGTGGGCGCAGTCATTTCAACAGCCTGACATTTCATGGGAGGCTGAGATTGTAAATGTTAACTGTTTGTGATATTTCAGTGAGCATACTGGGACCTCTGACCACTCCGGAGTACCAGCTCAATAAAACCCCCTCCTCCAGCTCTCTGTCTCAGCGCATGAAGTCCTCTCTGACACCCAGGTAATCACATGAGCACAGTCCTCCCAGCCCTGCTGGCATTATAATCAATGATCTCATGATTAATTGAGAAGATAAAGCTACAAAGTGTTTTCTCTCCTAATTTACATAAATGCTGACTTCTTCTGACTATCATATAACTTAATCTACTGTGTAATATCTCATTATCATTCATCAGCTCTGTTTTATTGACTATAGCTCCTAATTAATAATTCCATCATGTTTTTTTTAATGTATGCTGTTTGTTGCAGATTTGGGTCAAAGAGCAAATCAGCAGTGGGATTTTCTCGCCAAGGAAAGTTCTTTTCTTCTCCGCTCCTCAAATAATATCAAAGCAGCTGCATTTAATCCTTTATTCTTACTGCAATAACAGCGACTAGTTTGTTTTATGAATAACATTTAATTGCGTCTATAAACACCTCCAATGTAGTCTTCCTCTGCATTCTTAAAAATTCTGTTTCTGAATGTTAGTTTTTATTGTTTTCTTTTGTTTGTTTTTAACATTTGTAAAATGGGATTTTTTTTTTATTTTTTATTTTTAAAACAACTAGTTTTTTCTGTCTGTGCACACATGTGTCTTTAGGACTGTTGCTCCTAATAAATGTCCAGAGTGGCATTCTCATTTCAGATGACAACACACGAAAATGCACTGTCTATTCACTCTTAGATAAGTGTGCTCATAGATGAAAATATGTACTGTATATGAACAGTTTTATTGTGACCTGCTTCTAAATGTAATTGTTTCCCTTTAATAGTTTTTCAGCTCATGTGTCACTCAGAAGTTGAGAAACTTATTTTTTTTTTATTATTATTATTTTTTGGTATTTTATTCTAGGTTAGAGTTGATTGTGTGGCTGATGTTTGTATTTCATTTGTTTTTATTTAGATTGTCTTCATCCCACAGTATTTTGTTTAGTGAATATAATTTAGAAGTGTGCATACCCTTTCCTTCTTGCTTAATAACAAACTGTAGTAATAAGAACTCAATGAAGACTTTTCAACCAGATCTACTTGGTCATCGTCTGCAAGCTTCACTAGGTGTGGAT